TACAGCAGAGGGTATATTCCTGAATACACAGATTTGACACAACCCCTGAGAGATTTGGTCAAAGAGCAAGCCATGAGAAACTTGAACAACATTCTAATATGGACACAAGAAGCTGAAGAAGCCTTCATAAAACTCAAACAGCACATGTCATCTGCAGCAGAACTGACATTACCTGATTACAACCTACCCTTCTTTTTAGATGTTTCTGTAACAAAACTAGCCATAAATGGCGTTTTGTTCTAGAAAAAAGGGGTGAGAGAAAGGTACTACAGTACTTATCAACAATGATGGATATTATGAAAAAACGGCATCCCCATGCACACAACACGCAGCAGGGATTGCAAAATTAATTTAAAAAACAGCACACATTGTTATGTGACACGCCCTAGTGGTATTAACCGCACACAGTGTAGTGGCATATGTAAATTCTCAAATGCTTTACTATGACCGCTTTAAGACAACACAGTTTATCTAAAATACTAGAAGCCCTCAACATCACCTTCACACATGAAGGAATAAACATGGTGGACTGCATCTCCAAAGGAGAACCGCACCAGTGTGAAAAGCTTGTGACCACACTAGAAAAAGTAAGACCAGACTTGCAAGCTGACTAACTATTTTCTCTCTAAAATTTAAGGTTCATCCAGTTGATTTAAATGCCTGTATATAAATTGTTGTTTGTTTGTCGATGACATGCGAATGATCCGACATGGCTGAAGGTTTAAATCCCCATGTAAAATTGTGATGTCATTTTTGCTGACGTTAAAATCTTTACAAGAAGCGTGCTAGATCTCTACAAAGCTAATTGAACAAATCATTCTAAAGAGACTAATCAGTGCTTTAGATCACATTCATACACTGATGGGACACAGATCAAAGCCTATGAGGGGTTCAGTGTCTTGCCCAGGGACACTTCAGCATGTGACTGCTAGTGGATTCGAACCCCCAACTCTCGCATTGGATGAAGACTGCTCTAACCACGCAGCCACATTCGCCCCCAAGAGGAGCTGTTAAAGGCTCTGGGTGGTAAGAAAGAGCTTTCAAATGACTGGGCCACTACAGCAACAGTAATTAGAGAGACAGGTAGGAAGGTACTTGGTGTGTCATCTGGACAGAGAATGGATGATAAGAAAATCTGGTGGTGGAATAGTGAAGTGCAGGACGAGGATAGCCAAAGAGAGAAATGACAGTGAGAGGATGGACGAGACAGGAATATAAGGAGATAGGATGTAGAGCAAAGAGGAAGGTAGCTAAGACAAAGCAGAAGGCATATGATGGGTTGTAAGGGAAGCTGGACACTAAAGAAGCCAAGAATTGATTGGCAAGACAGATGGATCAGGCTGGAAAGGATGTGCCACAGGTTAGGCTTGTTAAAGATATGGCAATGTTCTAACAAATGAGGAGAGTATGACTGGAAGATGGAAGGAGCACTTTGAGAAGCTAATGAATGAAAAGAATGAACAAAAAAGAAGAGTAGAGGTGTGGACCAGGAAGTGGGAAAGATTAGCGAGGGTGAAGTCTGGAAAGCTCTGAAAAGAATGAAGAAAGGGAAAGCAGTATGATCTGATGACATACCAGTGGAGGTTTGGAAATGTCTTGGAAAGATGGCAGTGAGGTTTTTGTCTCAAATATTCAATGGCATATTTGAGGGTGAAAAAATGCCTGAGGAATGGAGAAGTGTGCTGGTGCTCATTTTTAAGAACAAGGGTGATATACAGAGTTGCAGCAACTATAAAAAGAATTAGGTTGATGAGTCACACAATGAAGATCTGTGAGAGAGTTGTGGAAGCTAGACTTAGAGGAGAGGTGACTATTTGTGAGCAGCAGTATGGTTTCATGCCAAGAAAAAGCATGACAGGTGCCATCTTTGCTTTGAGGATACTGATGGAGAAGTACAGAAAGGGTCATAAAGAACTTCATTGCGTCTTTGTGGATTTAGAAAAAGTATATGGCAGGGTGCTGAGGGAGGTGTGGTATTGCATTAAGAAATCTGGAGTGGCAGAGAAGTATGTTAAACTGATAAAGGACGTGTAAGAGTACAGCAGGACAGTGGTGAGATGTGCTGTAGGAGTGACAGATAGCTTCAAGGTGGAGGTGGGATTGCATCAAGGATCAGCTCTGAGCCCCTTCTTGTTTGCTCTGGTGATGGACCGACTAACAGATGAGGTCAGGCAGGAATCCCCATGGACTATGATGTTTGCAGATGACATTGTGATCTGTAGTTAAAACAGGGAACAGGTGGAAGAGAACTTGGAGAGGTGGAGGTATGCACTTGAAAGAAGAGGAATGACAGTCAGCTGTAGTAAGACAGTACATGAGAGGGAGGCCAGTGGAACAGTGAGGCTACAAGGAGCAGAGGTCACAAAGGTGCAGGACTTCAAGGACTTGGGGTTCACGGTCCAGGAAAATGGAGAGTGTGGTAAAGAGGTGAAAAAGAGAGTCCAAGCAGGATGGAGTAGATGGAGAAATTTTTCAGGAGTGATTTGTGACAAAGGATGACAGCAAAGGTCAAAGGAAAAGTTTATAAGACAGTGGTGAGACCAGCTTTGTTGTATGGTCTGGAGACAGAGACATGGACAAAAAGACAAGAGAAAGAACTGGAAGTGGCAGAAATGAAGATGTTGAGGTTCTCCCTAGGAGTGACAAAGATGGATAGGATTAGGAATGAGATCATCAGAGGTACAGCGCAGGTTGAACAACTGGGAGATAAAGTTAGAGAGGCCAGACTGAGATGGTTTGGACATGTCGAGGACGGACAGTGGGTATATTGGTAGAAGGATGTTAGAAATGCAGCTGCCAGGAAAAAGGCAAAGAGGAAGGCCAAAGAGGAGGTATATGGATGCAGTTAGAGGACATGGAGGTAGATGGAGTGAGAAAGGATGCAGAGGACAGAGTGAGATGGAGGAGGATGACTCACTGTGGAGATCACTGAAGAGGGAAAAGCCGAAAGAAGAAGATAAAGAACATGTGCCTAATGGCTAGTTGTGTTTCAAGTAAAACATGTTTTTGCCTAAAACTGTTTACAGTTTTAGTGCTTTTTGCAAAAACAGATTATTTTTCATCAGAAAACAAACTGTCTTCATCCTCTACAAGAGTTTACACTCATTTTCATACAGAATACATGCTGCGATTTGCAAATGCAAGCAAATGTTCTAGCGTGGGGCAGTATGGTGGCTCAGTTTGTAGAGCTGTTGCCTCTCAGCAAGAAGGTCACTGGATTGATTCCCGCCTGGGTGGAGTTTGAATGTTCTCTCCATGCATGCGTGGGTTTTCTCCAGATACTTTGTTTTCCTCCCACGGACCAAGAGAGTGAATGCTTGTTTGTCTCGTTTGTCTCTATGTGTCCCTGTGATGGACTGGAGACCTGTCCAGGGTGTCCCCCACCTCTTACACAGTGACTGCTGGACATGGGCACCAGTGACCCTGTGACCAGAACAAGAAGCAGTAAAGATAATGGATGGATGCTCTCATGTGGCAACTAAAGGAATTCAAAAGAAATGCTTTTGTCTTGTCATATGAGACAAACACGACTAAATGCACCACTGAGTCTCGCCAATATGGATTAAGGAAGATAAGAAAAAAGCCATCCATTTTTGTTCGACTGAAAAATGGTTCAGAAATGAAATGGTACCTGTTTGTAGACTATCTGTATTCTGATTTACATTTTCTCAAGTGGTTCATTTTTGAAGTTTGGTGATAGATGACTAGTAACACTAGTAAAAGATTTAGCAAAGAGCTGTCTTTAACAACCACCAAAGCATCCTCTTATTTCACTGATGGAACAAGGGGTTCTCTGCAAACGGGATGTGAACAATGCACCCACTGGCTTCATCCTGAGAATGTCTACAACTCATCCTTAGCTACACCTCTGCCTGTGGTGTTAATCACAGTGGGGGTTGTACATAAAAACAGACAGTGGATAGATGGGTTGATAGATTAGGGGGCACTTTGAGGTCAGCGTTCCATTGTAAATAGGGAAGATGTCCAGTTGGTAAACAGGAAGTGTTTGTTTCCAGAGGTCATCTCGCCATCAACTTGTTATGGGAACAGAGGTTCCTGGGAAACATTCCACAGCTGTTGACTTTCACATTAAACCCCCCCCCCCCCCCCACACACACACACACAGGCTACAATCAGTGAATTAAAAATGTCTACATGGTGCAGTGAGAAACGGGTGATGGCACTGACACCAACCGTTTATAGTGTTCCTTGTAAACAGGCTTTATTTCTGTTCTCTTTCTCCTCAAAGCTATATTCAGAGGAAACATATTTAGGAAGAGAACCTAAAAACAGTTTGATTCTGTAGCGAAAGACTGTTATATATGACAAAAGTTTATTCAACGCTTTTCACCGCTTTGCTGAGATGTATCAATTTTAACGGTGGATAAAGTGCCACAAAAATGCACTACTTTTAATATGGGAGACATTAACATCTAGCATCATCAATATACACTAATAATATAAAGACCAAGCATTTCTTGGGGGATTGCATATTGCCCAAGTCCTTTCAGCCCAGAGTTTTACACAGAGATTATTTTATGTTGAGAAAAGTACATATAGACATTTCAATCAAATCTTAAAATTAATGCAGTGTCAAATGGGAGTGATTCATTTACACCAGTCAGATCATGTGTTGAAAATGAAACTCAGCAACCACAAACGTTTTGAGTTTAAAATATGTAAAGCTGACTGAGTTATAGTTATAGTTTGTCAATTACATGAGCCAATAAAATATAAAAAAAAAAACAGAAAGAGCTCTTATTTTCTTATGACTTTTACTGAGCCTTCAGTGACTGTGTGATGTGAAAAGGGAATAAGATAAGGAATTTGCATATTCTGCCTGAAATGGTATGAAGCACAGAGCAGGCAAACGTTCACGCAGTGAGTGTTAAGAGCATTTCGTTTTCAAGATTAAATGCACTGCAGAGACTTCCAGAGTAGTTTTCATCATGTCTGTCTACAGAACAGATCAAACCCTTGTATGTTTTCTCCTCATGGTGATGACGGGAGCGGAGGTGCAGGAAACCATCTCACCAGAGTGTAAGCAATTCTTGTATATGGGAACACCACCAAGAGGGCTTGAGGAGCAGCCGTTAAAGAAGATCTGCCAGTTCTATGCAGGCAAGCCTCGGTTTGTCACTCTGTACGACACAATCAACCATGTCCCCGTTTATTCTGCATACACCTTCAAGCGCTCAGATGGTGTCAAGAAGGTCGATGTGCCTTGGATGTATGAGCCACAGGTAGGGATGGATCTCGTCATATGCCGTCTCATATCCTTAGGAAGAAATGACAGTAAATATTATTTTGTTTCAAACTCTGCTAACGTTGATCCCAACAGCTCTCCATGGTGTCTGGCTCCAGAGACATGGAGCAGTTCCTTTCATTTAATGTCCATAAGAGCTTTGAGGACTCCCAGGCTGTTCTTGATGACTACACTGACACGGTGATCTTTGAACGTGGTCAGCTGAACCCTGACGAGCATCAGGCCCACTTGGATGACAAAGCAGCCACTTACACTTTGACCAACGTGGTTCCCCGAGTTCGAGAGTTCAACATTGGTTCGTGGAAAGTCCATGAACATGCCATCCGCCAGAGGCTTAACAATTACTGCCGTGGAACTGCATTTGTGGTGACCGGGATCACCACGTCGGGTGACATGATCCGCCGCTTCAACATCAACCGTCTGGCCATCCCCACATACCTCTGGTCAGCCTACTGCTGTCCTGATTTTGACCACAACGCTCCGTACTCTGAGCGGTCCAAGTTCCCGGCATTTGCAGCTCACGGACTCAACGAGAGGGAGAACAACAGAGTCCAGGAGATGACCGTGCAGCAGCTGGAGGACTTCCTGAAGAGGGTGACTTATGTCAGCAGATCTTTCCAAATCTTCTACGAAAACTGTGTCCCAGTGAACAGTGCCAACAGCATTTAGCTTCAAACGGAGAAAACAAAGCCATTCTTCAGTTTGATTATAACTGTCTGCTACATCACAGGTGCTTTGTTGTATTTGAAATCTATACATTTGTTGATTTAAAGAAAACTTCTATTTGGAGTTGCAAATGTTTTAATTCTTCTCTCCTTTATGCTCCTTTTTTAACAGTTCACCCTGTTTTGAACCTGTATGCTCCACACTGGTTTGTCGTCATTATCTGCATCATTTTTATGTCTATATTCTGATTTACTTCATTTTGAATATTGCTTTGTGTGTTACCTGTTGTTCCGTCTGTACAGCACTTTGGTTGGCCTTGTCGCTATTTTAAGTGCTCTACAAATAAAATGGTATGGTATGGTACTGTGGTTATGTAATCAACCTAGGTGTTGATTATACCCAAATGTGCTATAAACTCAGCCTGAGATGTTTTAAACTCCTTTATCGGTTTTTATGTGATCTTCTGAACAGGAACAGGGAACATCTGCTTCTGTGGCTCTTTTGTTCAGTGCAGATTAGACCGGTTTTAATTTATTAATTCTAACTGCAACTCTGCAGTACACCTCACTTTAGATCATGCCTACACTGTTGACGTATGTGGTTCCCAACAGCTCAACAAGTTATTTTCATTTTTAGAGTTTGATTCATATACCGGTACATCTGGATATGCAATGTTGCAAATAAATGATAATTTAAATAAAGTAAAAGTATTTTGTGCTTTGTTTTCATTACTCCATTTTCTCTCATTCTGTTTAAGTATGACAAGTCAGACCTAATCCACATTCAGTTTGTTCAATGATATGTGACTACATTTAGTCTGAGGGAATCATTTCTGCCAGCTGACATATGAAACTGTCAGATGGTCAGCGGCATCATGCTGCCCAAAAGCACTATGAAAACAAATTAAAATATAGTTAAAAACTTTGTTTTTTATTATAATGACAACAAAAAGATGTAAATTTTGGGGTCAGTGACTTTATAGTTTGTTTTTAGAAAATGTTAACTGGTGAGAAAAATTACCAGTTTATCAAACTAAAGTTGAAAATGAACTGTGTTCACGAGCCAAGTTAGAACGGAGCCACGGCCAAAGTGGATTACTGTAGCTCTAAAACAACCGCCATCTCAAATAAGTATTTCATGCAGAAAGCAAGCTAAGCAAATGGCAGGTTGGCTTTCTTGGACTGAGGTCTGTTTATGATGGAGGACATGTGCAAACTTATGCATACTACAAACCCACAGACCAGTACTTGTAGTTAACTGATGCGTACTACAAACCCACAGACCAGTATCCAAAAAAATTTCAATCTGGTCCTCTGGACATTCAAAAAAACAAAACAAAGCAAAAAAAATGTAGAAACGTTTCGTCTCTCATCAGAGAGACTTCCTCAGTCTGAGGTACTGTATTCAGCTCAGTCTCTTAAATAGCACCTTCTCAGAGTGGATCAACCAGTTTGCTGCTGACAACCAAAACCAGCTGCTCACATGGTCAAGAAGGACCATCAGCCTACATTTTTTTTTGTTGCTTTGTTTTGTTTTTTTGAATGTCCAGAGGACCAGATTGAAATTTTTTTGGATTTTTCTACCTGGATTATTGAGCATGTATCAGGATACCACAGACTAGTACTTGTAGTTACCAGACTCCCATCACCTTCTGGAGCACAAGTTAGGAGTCATCAGGATTCTGTACCACAGAGCAGACAGTGCCCCCACTAACTCAGGAGCCAGGCAGGAGAAATCCCACAATAGGACGATTATAAGACTGAGTTTGTTGCAGCTCCTCAGACTGAAGAAGTCTTTTGGGTAAAAGATGAAACGTTGCAATAAAGAATCCGTCCAGAGCACCTGACTCTACCTTGTTATATTTATCTACCTGGAGCATGCATCAACATTTCATGCAAAGCACACTTTTTACACCTACAGTATATATCCTCATCAATCTCAGTTATTTACATTAAATTCTAGAGCAAACACATCTACAGCAGAGAACATCCAGCAGAAATATAATTTCTGCTGGACTAGCTGTAGAACATGGTGACTGTTGATATCAGCATTGTTGTTTACTACAGGTATGAAGATAGTGCCTTAGAAATTATTGTTTTAACTTACGTAGCCCTAACCCTAATCATTTTATATGAACAAATGCTTTCCTTAAACACCCCCCCCCCCCCAAAAAAAAAAGGAATAACACCTTAAAGCAAAAAAGCACATCCACCAGTCTAATAATGACCATTTTATGAAATACAATCTGACAGTCTGTGTTATCACTATATTTTTTGACAACTGTCATTCTATTCACAGCTCCAGTCTCAAATAATAAAATAAAACTTATTTCTGTACAAATGACCAGCTTGAAAGAACAAGCTTTACTTAAATTACCACTGTGAAGTTATGACTCACTGCAGTGCACAAACCTTTCAAAGTAAAAACACCATTAGAAAACAAGTTGAATATTAGTTATGTGTTGATCTTTGTACTCCAAAGAAACAGTCTTAAGATCCATTTAGGCATTTTTGTTTATGTCCTTCACAGATTCTTGCACTATGCAGAAGATACATACACAATGGGGCCTCACAGACACTGTGACGAGTCTAGTTAGTGCTTCAGGACGTTCTGGTCTCAGTTAAACCAGACGGTGTTGAGCTGCGTCTGTTTCTTGATGCTTGTGTCCAACTTGAGGACCTCTCTGATTGCCATGGTAGCGTAGGTTGAAGGAGGCAGGGAGAACTCCATCTTCAGAGCCCGATACTTCCCCTCTGCAAGAAAAATAATCTGTGAGCAAAGGTCACCATGGGTCATATTTGCTCTTTGTTATTTTTATGCTTCTCCCTCAAGATGTCTTTTAGTTTTCCTCTAAAATCATCCTGCCCTGATATAAACTGGCTAAATTTTTCTCTTAATTTTGTATTTCCAGTGTTAATTCCAAGTTGTGTGTATTTGTACAGTTTAAAATGACCATGTGCACAAAGGACTTTGATAATGACATGTTTATTAGGGGTTTTATGCATTTTATGTCATGTGTGTTTAAAATGGTCCAAATTAAATCACATATTTAACTTGTGTTCACGCAGATCTAAAACAAATTTTACCTTTGTTGATGACTGGGGGAGATTTGTTCTCCAGTTTTTCAAAATCACTGTGCACCAGAGAGATCCTGGGGTCATCATAGCAAATCACTTCCCTGCACACAGAACCAACACATTAACATTTTATAGTAACCATAGTACACAATAGTAGCCTTACTGTTAGAGTTTAACCATTAAAAGACATGATGTAACATTAGTTTTCCCTGTTTGGAAGTTATTGTGTGATGTCTGACCAGGTGACGTCAGTGGGTCTGATGATGATGCGTCTGTAGGCTCCAGCCAGAGAGTAGTCCTTCACTTTGTGTCTCATGTTGTCGATGTCCAGCCCGTCTGCAGACAGCAGCTCTCTATAACCTGCACCGACTCACATAACACATAAACAAAGGTAAAAATACAAGACTTTTCTTTTTTATAAAATATTAAATTTTTATGTCAACTGAAAACAATTCTAATTTTTTTCCTAAAGTAAATTCAGTCAAAACCAATACAGCAAGTTACAAAAAACAATTTTTAAAAAGTACATAAAACTGCACTTTCAAGAAGAGGAATGAAAGTCAGCCATAGTAAAGCCTCCAGTATACTCGGACGTATGTCAGTCCACGTGTACCGGATTAGAGTCGAAGTGGATGCCCGTAGAGCATGTCTGTGCAAAAATAAATTTTTACATCATACGCGTACTTGGTGTTGCACAATAAACTGCCCAGTAACGGACTGTTTTTTATGCGACACCACTGTATTAAATTCCCCTTTTTCATCTCTGGTCTGGTTTAATGGCTTTTTCTTTTTTTTTTTTTTTTCCACAAGGCAAGCAATCTCTTCCTCCTTGATGTCATGACTGAAATGGTGAGAAATGAAGGAATTTGTCATGTTTTCGTCATTTTAAAGATGGCGCTACTGTGTGTGGCTTGCTGTCTCTCGCCATTTGTGTTCGTGCTGTTTTTGTTTTTTATCACCAGTGCCAGTTCGCTGCTTGTGTATGATCACCAAACATTGCTGGATCTTTGTCTCTCTGCCAAGGATTGTGGTATTCATACGACATTTCAGCCATTTTCATTCCCCGGTCAGACACCTGCTCACCTCTGCCACACCCACGCTCCACTCCCTCGGCGTAAACGCCGGTGGCGCCGGGGCAAAAGCAGCAGCTGACTGTTAAAAGTTTAAGGCTTTCTTGGCACAATTTCTCCCGGGCGAGAAATGGAGCAGTACCTAGTCTCTTTCTGAGCCCGCAGTCGCTGGACCCTGCTGATAGCTGGCTGGTGTGTGTTGTCGATTCTGATGATGTGGTCTGCCCTGCTCTCCCCGTCCTCGCTGGCATGGTGTAAATCCCTGCCATCTACGAACCCTGCGTTGGGCTCCACAGGCAGCTGCAGCTTCGGATGTGCCAGCCCCTGCCAGGTTCAGCCTTGTTAATGCAAGATTACTGTCAAATACAACTTTCATATTGAAGGATTTCTTCATGTCCCATGATCTTGATTTTCTCTGCATGACGGAGACATGGCTGAGAACTGGTGAGCCACCACTCTTGTCACAACAGGATTGCTGCTATTTTAATTCCCCACACCTGTCGGGTCAAAAAGGAGGAGGAATAGCAGTAGTTTTTAAAAACGATTTTAAATGCCAACAGATCTACCTGCAATCCTCTTTAACAAGTTTTGAACAGTGCTCATTTGAAATTGGCCGCTCTCATGTTGTCTTGTGTGTCATCATCTATCGGTCACCCAAGCACAATAAGGATTTTATAAATGACTTTTCAGAATTTTTGGCCGAAATCCTATTTAAATATGATTGTGTTCTTATTCTTAGTGATTTTAATATTCACATATGCTGCCCAGAAAAGCCCATCTCCAGGAGCTTTTTAAACGTTATTGACTCTTAACTTTGTACAGTCCGTGTCCAGTCCTACTCATGAACTCGGGCACACACTTGACTTGGTCCTGTCTCACAGTCTGGATGTTTCCAATTTGGACATATGTGATGCCGTTTTCTCGGATCATATGCCGATCATATTTGACATTCCCACACACTGTCCAGTTAAACTGTGCGCTCCTCCTCAGTGCTGTCGCATGTTTAACTCCTCCTCTCCAGCCCTGTTCTCCTCCACTTTTCTTGGTCTCTGCGAGGATAACTCTAAAGACTCTCCTTGTTTAAATATTGATGAACTGATTTCCGACTTCCACTCCATTTGTTTACAAACACTGGACACAATCACTCCTTTGAAGAGCCGGCGCACCAAACCTGTTCCCGAGCCCTGGCTGAGTGCCAGGCGCGAGTGCAGGTGGAAAAAGGACAGGGTACACGTTTCTTTTGATATTCTTAAAGAGAGCCTGTTACACTATCAGAAGACTGTAAAAGCTGAGAAGAACAAATATCTCTCAGACATAATTTCTTCTAATTGTAACAACCCCAGTATTCTGCTCAAAACCATAGACACTGTTCTCCATGCTCCCAAGTCTGTTAGTTTTGAAGCATCCATTGAAGTCTGTGAAAGTTTCCTCCACTTCTTGACTGATAAAATTATGTATTTTATTTCTCAGCCTTCCTATGATCCCTCTATTCCTTTACACTACTCATCTATCTTTGATCAGTTTGAACTGGTGTCCTTCTCTTTTCTAGAGGACACAGTTGGTCATATGAGGCCATCTGGTTCCCCTGCAGATTCCATCCCACTTCGTTTGTTTAAGGAGGTACAGGTCCTTCTCAAAAAATTAGCATATTGTGATAAAGGTCATTATTTTCCATAATGTAATGATAAAAATGAAACTTTCATATATTTCAGATTCATTGCACACCAACTGAAATATTTCAGGTCTTTAATTGTTTTAACACTGATGATTATGGCATACAGCTCATGAAAACCCAAAATGCCTGTCCCAAAAAATTAGCATATCATGAAAAGGTTCTCTAAACAAGCTATTAACCTAACCATCTGAATCAACGACGTAACTCTAAACACCTGCAAAAGATTCCTGAGGCTTTTAACAACTCCCAGCCTTGTTCATTACTCAAAACCGCAATCATGGGTAAGACTGCCGACCTGACTGCTGTCCAGAAGGCCATCATTGACACCCTCAAGCAAGAGGGTAAGACACAAAGAAATTGCTGAACGAATAGGCTGTTCCCAGAGTGCTGTATCAAGGCACCTCAGTGGGAAGTCTGTGGGAAGGGAAAAGTGTGGCAGAAAACGCTGCACAAGGAGAAGAGGTAACCGGACCCTGAGGAGGATTGTGGAGAAGGGCCGATTGCAGACATTGGGGGACCTGCGTAAGCAGTGGACTGAGTCTGGAGTAGAAACATCCAGAGCCACCGTGCACAGGCGTGTGCAGAAAATGTGCTACAGGTGCCGCATTCCCCAGGTCAAGCCACTTTTGAACCAGAAACAGCGGCAGAAGCGCCTGACCTGGGCTACAGAGAAGCAGCACTGGACTGTTGCTCAGTGGTCCAAAGTACTTTTTTCGGATGAAAGCAAATTTTGCATGTCATTCGGAAATCAAGGTGCCAGAGTCTGGAGGAAGACTGGGGAGAAGGAAATGCCAAAATGCCAGAAGTCCAGTGTGAAGCACCCACAGTCAGTGATGGTCTGGGGTGCCATGTCAGCTGCTGGTGTTGGTCCACTGTGTTTTATCAAGGGCAGGGGTCAATGCAGCTAGCTGTCAGGAGATTTTGGAGCACTTCATACTTCCATCTGCTGAAAAGCTATATGGAGATGAGGATTTCATTTTTCAGCACGACCTGGCACCTGCTCACAGTGCCAAAACCACTGGTAAATTGTTTACTGACCATGGTATTACTGTGCTCAATTGGCCTGCCAACTCTCCTGACCTGAACCCCATAGAGAACCTGTGGGATATTGTGAAGAGAAAGTTGAGAGACGCAAGACCCAACACTCTGGATGAGCTTAAGGCCGCTATCGAAGCATGCTGGGCCTCCATAACACCTCAGCAGTGCCACAGTCTGATTGCCTCCATGCCACGCCGCATTGAAGCAGTCACTCATGCAAAAGGATTCCCGACCAAGTATTGAGTGCATAACTGAACATGATTATTTGAAGGTTGGCGTTTTTTGTATTAAAAACACTTGTCTTTCATTGGTGGGATGAAATATGCTATTTTTTTGGGACAGGCATTTTGGGTTTTCATGAGCTGTATGCCATAATCATCAGTATTAAAACAATTAAAGACCTGAAATATTTCAGTTGGTGTGCAGTGAATCTGAAATATATGAAAGTTTCATTTTTATCATCATTACATTATGGAAAATAATGAACTTTATCACAATATGCTAATTTTTTGAGAAGGACCTGTATTTGCTACTATTGGACCAAGTGCACGTCTGATTAATAGCAGTCTTTCCTCTGGTATAGTACCTGAGGCTTTTAAGCATGCATTTGTACGCCCTCTACGTAAAAAAAAAAAAAAACAGGCCTTGACCCCTCTCTCCGCTAAAATTTCAGACCCATCTCTAATCTTCCATTTATTTCTAAAATATTAGAGAAGCTCGTCTACAACCAGTTGTTACCATTTTTAGAGTACAATGGTATCACTGAGCCGTTTCAGTCTGGGTTTAAAGCCCACCAAAGTACAGAGAGTGCACTTTAGAGGGTTTCAAATTATATATTTTTGTCAACAGACTCTGGAAAGTTTGTCATTTTAGTGCTCTTAGATTTCTGCTGCATTTGACACTGTTGATCACAACATTTTAATCTCTCGTCTTGAGCACTGTGTGGGCATCAGGGGTGTCGCCCTCAATTGGTTTCAGTTGTATTTAACCAATAGGAGTTTCTGTGTAAAAATTGACAATTTTATGTCTTCCACTGCTCCTCTTCCACATGGTGTTCCCCAGGGCTCAATCCTTGGGCCTCTTATTTGCTCTTTACTTACTCTCCCATGGCTCTATTTTCAGGAAACATTGCACTTAATTTTATTTCTATGCAGATGATTGCCAGATCTATTTTCCCATGGCACAAAACAACACATTCCAGCAACTTACACACTGCCTTAATGATATTAAAGCATGGTTTTCCCTCAACTTTCTTAGTCTAAATGAGAACGAGACTGAAGTTATGCTGGTTGGACCGAGTTGCTGTCCCTCTCCTAGCATAGATCTTGGCTCACTGTCATTTTATCTCAGGGACTGTGTCACCAATCTGGGGGTGAAGTTTGAGTCCGATTTTAAATTTGAAAAACAGATCAGCAGTGTTGTTCAGAAAAGTTTTCATCAACGTCGCCAAATAGCAAAAAAAAAACAATCTTAGCAAGACTTGACTTGGAGAAATTAATCCATGCTTTTATCACAGCTCATCTTGACTTCTGTAATGCACTATATGTAGGCATTAGCCAGACCTCTCTTGCCCGTCTGCAGCTTGTGCAGAACTCTGCTGCTCGCCTGTTAACTCAAGCCCGTAGGCGCAGGCAAATTACTCCCATCCTGGCATCCCTTCATTGGCTCCCTGTGCAATACAGAATTCATTTGAAGCTTTTGCTGTTTGTTTTTAAATGCTTGAACAACCTTGCCCCACCATATCTGTCTGAGCTGCTTCAGCCTTACTGCCCACCCCGATTCCTACGATCAGCTGATCGGTTGCTGATGACAGTCCCTAAAACTAGGCTGAAGCTCAGAGGTGACAGAGTGTTTGCTGTTGCTGCTCCCAGGTTGTGGAACAACTTACCCTTGAGTGTCAGACAGGCCTCCTCTCTTCCGGTTTTTAAATCTCTTTTAAAAACACACTTTTATTCTTTGGCTTTTAACACGTGATCTTATCTTTTATGACATCTTAACATACCTGCCGTGAAACTTGTATGTGTATGTTTTAATGTTTCTTTGTGTATGCTTTGTATGGTTTTATTGTCTTAATTAACTTGTCTTTTTGTCTTATTGTACAGCACTTTGGCTACCCTTACGGTTTTTAAAATGTGCTATAGAAATAAAGTTGATTGATTGATTAGCGAATTAAAATCAGGTCTAGCATGGCTGCGGGAGGGTCTGGAGATTTCTTGGTGGGCTAGTCTGGTGTGTGGGCTGCAGGGTCAGCTCTCGCACTTTTTATTTTTTAGAAGTTTTTATTAACAACATATAAACACAAAACACTGCTGTGGCTGCCAGCTCTCGATTTTGTTTGCGACCTGTCAATCAATCCAGTAGGCATGTCATCAAATGACCAATCAGTGAACTCAATTTTTCCCGAAGGTAAACGCCCCTTGTCTGTGGAGCTGACTGCAGCCGCTCAGGGTCGACGCTCGAGTATGAAGTCTCAACCCTCTGCGGACAGTGCACGTCGAGTCCGCGCAGAAAAACGTCCAAGCGAGTATACTGGAGCCTTAACACAGAGTACGTGTGTGAATGAGAGGGAGGCCAGTGGAACAGTGAGGCTAAAAGAAGCAGAGGTCACAAAGGTGCAGGACTTCAAATACCATATTTTCCGGTGTATAAGTCACACCTTTTTGCATAAATTTACAAGTCCTGCGGCTTATACACCGAAGCGACTAATATACATTTTTTCCCCAAAATTTATAACCCAATTTTTGACTGACATTTGAAATGTTCATTCATAGACAAGAACCAGTAAACATTACCAGTTACAACCGCTAGAGGGCCCTCTAGGCTTTGTATGTTATTCCTACACCTCGCTACCCCCCCCCCCCCACACATACACACACACAAATGTTCACAGAGACAACTGACAAAAACTTAATATAAGTAAAATGCTCCCAAACAGAAAATCCTATCTTGCAGATTACAAACTGTCTCTGTCCTCCGGTGGAACCAGACGTGTCTCCCTGTCTCCCCCCCCACCCACCCACTGCACTATTTTGTATTGTGAACCCTTAAAAAGCCTCTCTTTTTTTCTGCATACCTCTTGATTCGAAGGATCAGCTGGTCTCTCAACAAAATTGATCAACTTCTGCTAATTTTTTGGGACAGGCATTTTGGGTTTTCATGAGCTGTATGCCATAATCATCAGTATTAAAACAATTAAAGACTTGAAATATTTCAGATGGTGTGCAATGAATCTGAAATATATGAAAGTTTCATTTTTGTCATTACATTATGGAAAATAATGACCTTTATCACAATATGCTAATTTTTTGAGAAGGACCTGTACATGTATAATGTCCATTTATGCTGATTTGATGTGGTAGGTTTTTTTGATGCCTCAAATCGTGCCCTGTCTAGGACATGGCGTGAGAGATCTTTTTTTATACCGTATCTCGTTATGTTTCCTTCCCTTTTCTCATCTAAGCAAAATATTATTCTGAATAAGAATGAGGGCCGCGCTTTTTATAGTTGCAACTTTGTGCACTCCGCCAATCTTTCGGATGACTGTACGTACATGTTTACATTGTATCTCGGTGCAATGCCAATAAAGTTTATTCTGATTCTGATAAAAACATGAAGCCCAAAACGATAATCGAGCAGCAGACAGAAAATTTGTCAATGGGTCGGGTCCACGCAGTCTGCCTGGGGGCTTCAACACAGTGGAAGGGACGGCTGCACGGCGGTGGAGGATATCCCCTCGCAGGGAACATTCCTCCCGTGTCTGGCTGGTTTCCAACGGGCGTACGTTCTACATGGTCATGCGCCACCCATCCATCTGTCGCAGCTCCAGTTGAAAACTCTACAGCTTTCCTCCACCGCCCAAACTGGGAGGAAGGGGGCAACGGAGCACGTTTTCTGCGGCCCTGGGAGGCAGTGAGGTACGGGCAGAGGAAGGTTCCAGAGCTTGCGGCCGGAGCAGAGAGGAACACCAGCGCCTAGGCAAAATGAAGCTGTTTTGACTATTAAAGTACAGGAAAAGTTCAACTGAGACACACGTTTGCTATAATATCGAGCAAACAAATAATTGTTTTTAGGTGTTAATCTTGTTAAATTCTTGTTAAAGTCCTCACGTGAGCTCTCCCGCGGTCGCCATTTGGCAGCCAATTGATTTCTGGCAAAGCAATGGCCCATGTATCTTGGGGGTCAGCAGGGACGCATAATAAATGCAACTTATATGGCGGAAAATACGGTACTTGGGGTCCACTGTCCAGGAAAATGGAGAGTGTGGTAAAGAGGTGAAAAAGAGAGTCCAGGCAGGATGGAGTGGATGGAGAAAAGTTTCAGGAGTGATTTGTGACAAAAGGGTGTCAGCAAAGGTCAAAGGAAAAGTTTACAAGACAGTATCCTGATGCATGCTCATCGTCTGTACTCATCCCTTTAGTTGGCAGCTCAGAACACCACATACAGAACACCATGGACTTTGTGGACAAGGTGAGGGATGTCATCATGGAGACTGATGAAACAATGGTCTCTTTTGATGTCACATCACTCTTTACATGCATTCCTGTTTATGATGCAGTAGAGGTAGTCAGTTTAAAATTAAAATCAGACACCACTCTGAGCAGCAGGACCACACTTTCCACAGAACAACTGTGTCAACTCTTGAAACTGTGCCTGCAGTCAACCTACTTCACATATGGGGAGCAATATTATAGGCAGAAACATGGGTGTGCTATGGGGTCTCCAGTTTCTCCTATTGTTGCCAATCTGTACATGGAGGAGGTAGAAAAGAGAGCCTTGACGTCCTTTTCAGGGACACCACCAAGTCATTGGTTCAGGTATGTTGACGACACCTGGGTTAAAATCAAATCTCAGGAAGTCCAACATTTTACTGACCACATCAACTCTGTGGATAAATACATCAAGTTCACACGAGAAGATGTAAAAAATGGCAGGTTGGCTTTCTTGGACTGTGAGGTCTCAGTCTCTGATAGAGGACATTTGCAAACTGAGGTTTACCGCAAACCCACCCACACAGACCAGTATTTGCAGTTTGACTCCCATCACCCTTTGGAGCACAAGTTAGGAGTCATCAGGACTCTGTATCACAGAGCAGACAGCGTCCCCACTAGCTCAGGAGCCAGGCAGAAGGAGAAATCCCACACAAGACAGGCTCTAGAGCAATGTGGATATCCTAACTGGGCCTTCCTGAAAGCAGAGAAGAAACCCAAACAGGACTCCAGTCAGCCAACAGGTGAAAAGGAGGAACCCAGACCCAGACCAGTGGTCATTCCATATGTTGAGGGAGTATCAGAGAAACAGACGTTTATTTTCTAAACATAACGTCCCAGTGGCTTTTAAACCCCAAAATACATTACGGCAAAGACTGGTTCATCCCAAAGATCCAGTCCCCCGGCACAAACAGAGCAATGTTGTGTATGCTGTTCAGTGTCAGGAGGGCTGTGATCAGTCCTACATCGGGGAAACAAAACAGCCACTGGCCAAAAGGATGGCCCAGCACAGAAGATCAACATCATCAGGCCAGGACTCTGCGGTCTACACTCATCTCCAGGCCAGTGGTCACTCTTTCAGGGATGAAGATGTTCACATCCTGGACAGAGAGGAACGATGGTTTGAGAGAGGAGTAAAGGAGGCCATCTTTGTGAAAAGAAATCGTCCATCATTAAACAGGGGTGGAGGCCTCCGGGTTCAACTGTCCCCCTCTTACAATGCTGTGATTGCTAGTATCACTCAGCCCTCTGTGAGTAGTAAACAGCCATCAGTGTGCTAATGACCCATTGTTAGGCTGATGGTCCTTCTTGAGCATGTGATCAGCTGGTTTTGGTTGTCAGCAGCAAAACTGGTTGATCCACTCGGAGAAGGTGCTATTTAAGAGACTGAGCTGAATACAGCTCCTCAGACTGAGGAAGTCTCTCGGATGAGAGACGAAACGTTTCTACATTTTTTTGTTGATTTGCTTTGTTTTTTTTTTTTTGTTTTTTTTTGAATGTCCAGAGGACCAGATTTAACTTTTTTAGATTTACAAGACAGTGGTGAGACCAGCTATGTTATATAGTCTGGAGACAGAGCCATGGACAAAAAGACAGGAGACAGAACTGGAAGTAGCAGAAATTAAGATGTTGAGGTTCTCCTTAGGAGATACAAGGATGGATAAGATTAGGAATGAGATCATCAGAGGCACAGTACAAGTTGAACAACTGGGAGATAAAGTTAGAGAGACCAGACTGAGATGGTTTGGACATGTCCAGAGGAGGGACAGTGGGTTTATTGGTAGAAAGATGTTAGAAATACAGCTGCCAAGAAAAATACAAAGAGGAGATATATGGATGCAGTTAGAGAGGACATGGAGGTAGTTGGAGTGAGGACAGAGGATGCAAAGGGCAGAAATGGAGGAGGATGACTCGCTGCGGTAACCCCTGAAGAGGGAGATGCCAAAAGAAGAAGGAAAAATGTACATAAAACACATACATTGCTTTTAAAATACAAATTTCATTTTGCACAATTTATTTCTATGCATAAAAACCAATAAAGTGACAGAGACTTGTCTTACTGTGATGGGAAGGGTAAATGACATCAAATCCAGGAAGTGGCATCACAAGGTCGTGTATGGAGTGACTCTCAGCCTCCTCTGCAGACAGCACATGTGCTGCAGCTTTAACACATGACAAAAGAACATGAGGAGAAAAATGCTGTTTGAGCAGCACTGTTCAGAAAGTGTGAACTTTTAAAACTAAATGCCATGACATGGTGCAAATGTTGAGAAAAAGTACTTTTGTCTTTAAATAACACATTTTACTGTCCAAAAATTACTTTATATCAAAAGTAAGTGGTTAATGTTAACAGTCTGCACAGCATTAATTACATTCCCAGCTAGTGGGACTTACTTAAATGTTTATAACGTGGTTACGTCATAGAGAGGAACGGGAAAAAAGTCTACATCATATTGATGTCACGGTTATTTTTTTAAACAAATCCTAAATTATGTGCTTTCACTGTTAAAGTTAATAGATGTTTATTGCAACAATAAAGTGTAGAAACAAAATTATCTTCTGAATACACAAAACTACAGCATAAAGTAGTTTATCTGTACTATTGAGCCTAGAGCTGGGCGATCGATATTTTAAAAATATCTATATAATTTTTTATTGCGATGCAAGTTGAGACTATCGATATAAAACAATAGTTTTATTCTTGAAAATCCTGCTGCTGCCTTCTTTCACCCACTTGTCCCCCTCCTTCTCCCTCATTGAACACAAACCCAGCCCCTCAGCCGCTCTCCCCTCCTTCCTGATTCTGCAGGAGGTGGGCGGACACGTTTAGCACAAGTAAACACGACAGATGTTAAGAGCAGAGTAGATGCTGTTGAGCAAAAAGAAAAACAATGACTGTTCTTTCAGAGATAGTTTGGATTTAAATCGTCAGATGAGAAGCAAAAATATGATTTCTGTAGACAATGCTGAAAACAGTCCCGACGAAAGGTCAGAACTACGAATCTTTTTCACCAATTAAACAGTGGAGTATGAACTGTTAAGCTGCAGCTCTGAGTGTTTTTTCAGCGTCCTTCCTTGAAACAAACCACGAGTCAGAGCTCATTTAGCTGTGCTGTGCTTTATGAGAGGAGCAGAGAGAGGTGGCGACATTAATAAATCACCAGCTCATCATATCACTAAAGACAAGGTCCTTAGCGGCTAACAAGATGCTAACGCTTTAGCCGTTTCACAGCTGAGACTGCAGCTTCACACAGGCTTACAACGTGAAGGTGGCGCAGCTGAATGGACTGTACTTTTATAGCACCTTTCTATCTTATCAAGACATTCAAAGCTCTTTACTACACAATCTGTGTCCTCCTAGGATGACATTTTTTCAGGAGTACCGCGGGTCACGTGATTCAGGCAGGATTCCGGTGGGACCAGAGTCAACTTCATTATGGCTCAAGTGACCAGGACATGACCGGATTGAAAGTAAACAGGAGCAGACAGGAGCGGGAACCAATCAATAAGCAAAAATGAAAAAAAAAAAAACACGGGCGCAGCTATTTTGTAGTTTTCTTTCAATAAGCCTTCACTTTAACACAAGTCAAAGTACAGTGCCCAGAAGTCAACGTTCCAGCCGAAGCTTTTCACCGAGAGGGCGGGAGGAGCAGCGAAGTCTCCAGCAAAGAAATCGAGTGGCTAAAAACAGTTTGCAACACAAGGTAAGAGGTAACTGTCTGAAGCCTTCTGGATCGAAGGCGAAACATTTCAGCACAAAAAAAAAAACGAATCTGTCCAGATGACCTGACTGAAAAATGTTGGATTGTATACCTGGATTATTGAGCATGGACTTTGTTGTCTGTCTATCTATTAAACTCACAGAACGGGCAGGAAAGTGTCATAATCAGGTCTCTCTTGTAAATGAGTCCTCAGCTGCAGTGTGGAGCTGCTTTGTTTACCGTCAGTAAATAAACACACCCAATAGCGCATTTTCTCCACCTTGTCCCTTTTAATTAAAAAATTATGCTCTGCTTTGTTATGTGGGTGTATTATAGTGGTTTGTTGCCCCCTAGTGGTAAGAAATACAGAAATACCTGTTCCAGGGATAGCTCATGGCCAACTTATTAACGTAAAGAAGATAAGACTGGTATAAGGGTTGTGTGTGTAGTTATGTTCTGCCATTCACCATTAAAGCACGTATCCACGTCTCCCCCTGCTTGATTATAATTCTAAGACCCCAACCAAGAATATCACAGTGGGGTTTTAGGTTAAAATCTTCATTATCTGTCGCTGTTTGTAATGTAAAAAACCCAGAACCCTTCCTGGTTAAAGTGCACACATTCTCCAGTAAAAATATCTCTATTTTTATATTGTGAAGTCATGCTGGATACTGAAATCGAAGAAAACGTGAATAACCATCGCTTTATTGCGTAAATAGTTACTGTCGACAGCAAGCCATGCCAGTACAACAACAAACCCATTAATGAAAGCATTCTCCAGTAAAAAATATCCCAATTTTATATGAAAGGCTAGTTGCATATATATTATAATAATTGTTTTGGTTTTAGGCTTCCGATGAAGCCTTCCGAACCAAAGGTGAAACGTTTCAGCACAAAAAAAAAAAAGAAAAAAAAGAAACTGTCCAGATGACATGACTGAAAAATGTTGGATTGTATACCTGGATTATCGACCATGGACTTTTGTTAGATTTAAGATATGATGTGCACAATTATGTTGTTGTGTTAAATTTTAGGCTAAGAGTTGATTTTTCTCAGTTCATTTCCTCACACCAGGGATGATTCTAGAAGCCCTTTTTAGGGGCCTTAGCCCCCATTGTTGACAATGGCTCTTGGCTTGAGCAACACAGTGGGTATTAGCATTAGAATTATTGTATGGGGGACATATTGGTGCGAGGTCTGTGGGTCCTCCCCCATAACTTTTTGAATAAAATAGCTGCTTTTTCCTGCATTCTGGTGTATTTTAGCAGGTTTTAATACATCTATGTTTACCTACATAAGTAAATAATTTATTCAATAACTGTTTTAGCAAGCATGGCACAAAAAGTAGAACTAAGCTTTTTGTTTGTCTTTAATTTATTTTTCTACCTAACAGGAAGATGTTAGCTGACACACATTTCAAAACAGCAGGGTAAGATACATAAAATCTTGTGATCTCTGCCTGGTGAAGCTGCTTAAATAATTCAATCAACCTTTATTTATACAGGTAAATCCCATTGAGCCTCGAGGAATCATTTACAAGAGAGACCTGATTTCAGCAAAGAATGATGACAACAATGGACAACAGCAACAACAATAAACAGTTACAAAGAGTCATACTGCAGGTTTTTTTTTTTTTTTTTTTTTTTTTAAA